AGCACAAATAAAATGTATTTAATAAAATCTTAAGATTTTCGAGAGCTTTTGGTTAGATTTTTTTTCAAATTTAAATATTTGGTGAAATTCATAATTTCATAAGATTTCTTCGAAAGTTCCAAAAATTTCAATCTTAGGGAAAGCTTACTACACATTTTTTTATATTTTAGTTTAGAATTTTTAGCATTACCTAATGCCAATATTACGTGAAACTCAGAATATAGAAAGCTTGCAAAGTGTGGAATCTAAGCTGTTGGCATACTTTAAGCCTTGCCTGATTTACATCAATCAAAACTCTTTTATGAGGAAGAATTTTGCAAGTTGAAATGGGAGCTTTTAAGTTAGGCAGAAAGCTTTTAAATATCTGCGGTTAATCGGAAATTCATAATAACGAAGTGAAATTGATCATTGAAAGCCCAAAGATCTGTTATTGCAGCGTAATTGAAGGCAACTGTTAAATTTCACGGATTTCAAATGTAAAATAAATATATATCGGACCTTCATAAACGCTTTCATTAACACCTCAGAAAGTTACGGTCTTTGCGAAAGCTTTTTTCAGTTTTACTACAATTTAACCATAGTCGAAGTTCAGAGCTTTAGAAAGCTGGCAAGCAATTTCGTCTAAGCTTTTAGCTTGCTTCCCTTAACACTTCAGTTAAATTAAATTTGAAACGCTTTTTTAAACTTTAATTGAGAGCTGGTGAAGACCAGTAGCCGCATCATGATTAAATTGGAGCTTTCGGCTGCCGAGAAGCAGAATGAGATTTTTGTAAGCATTAATTAGGAGTTTTTAAGTGAGGAAGAGAGCTTTCAATGGGCGAGAAGTAGAAAAAAATATTTTTAAAAATGGTCATGAAATGGAAAACGATTGTTGAAAGCTCAATGATCTACTTTCATAGCGCCTTTGGAGGTTTTAATTAATGTTGTAACATTTTACAGCTTTCAAAAGTGGATGGACGTGGATTTAAATATTGAATATAACCCGCCTTTTCATAGCCACCTTTAATTTTCAGCTGCTCCTGCGCTACCAAAGCTCTAAACACTCTATTGTACGTTACAGATTTTGCGTTTTCCGAAGCTTCTTATGAGCTTTCTGTCAAAATGGAACGTGTATTTCGAGATATTAACATTACCACTACAGCGAACAAATATTTTTGGAAATAATTTATTAAGAAAAAAATGTTAAGCACTCACTGATATAACTGGCACATGCCTATACCATCTATTTTCCTTGACTAACTTTTTTTGCTATTCTTTTCTTACTTTCCTTCTTAGCTACTGCTCACACTGTATTGATATTTGTTAGCGTTTTCAATTGTAAATTCTCAACTTTAGCCTTTTTCTTCAAATATTGCCACTTCTTTTACGCTCTACTGTATTTTCCATGCGCTTTTCTTTTAGTGTTGGATTTTGAGAATTTTATCTGGTCTCGCTTGCGCTGCATATTTTTGACTTTGAATTTCCCTTTATACATTTGTTTATTCCATATTGTATTGATACATTCATAAAAATGGTAGTTTTTGTTATTCTTCTCGCCGCTACGGTTTCTGCTCTCTTTCTCTTTAAATACACATACATACATGTATAAAATAATATACAATATATATATTTATATATATATATATATATATATATATATATATATATATGTATGTATGTATATAAATATACATACATATATTTATAGTAAACATAGTACTCATAGTTTTCTTTTAATTAATAAATTAATTTAATAATTTTTTTTATTAATAGCATTAATTATAATTAGAATAATAATAATAGCTTTATTTCCATACAATTTTACATTAATTTATTTCAAATATTTTTTCTTCATATTTTTCTTTACATTTCTGTTTTGCTTTAAATTACATCTTGTTTTTCAAATAATTTCAATTAATTTAATTTTTTGTTTAAATTCTTTTATTTTAGCGCTTAGACACACTTAGCATTGCAATTAATGTTTATTTTAATTTTTTTGTTGTTGTTTCACTAAATTATTAATTAGTAGTTAATAGTAGTAATAATAATAATAATAATAATAATATTATATATGTATTTTTCGTGTTTTTTTCTTCTTTAAATTATTTTATTAAATTAAATTAGTATTTAGAACAAAATAATGTCTTTTGTTTGTTTTGTAGATTTCAGAGCTTGTGCAACACAACAGTGTTTTACTCATCATAATCACACATACACACACTGTTTTTTTTTTTTTTTTTTGTTAATAATACATAATTCTTTATTATTTATTTCTTTTTGCCTGCCGCTGCTCCAGTAACTATTATCGAGTATGTAATTCAACTCGATTTGCATGTAAGTTTGCGACTGCTAGAGCTTTTAAGCGTTCACTGCAAGCTTTCAAGAGCTTTCACTTGAAGGCCTGTGACGCTTTCATTGCAACAAGAGCTCTCGCTACGAACTTTCAAGAGCTTTTGGTGCGCTCTACGGAACTTTCAAGCTTTCAAAAGCTTTCGTTTCAAGCTTTTGCAAGCGTTCGTTTAATTTTATTTAATTTTAAAATATAATTTGTTTTATTGGCTTTAAATTATATTTATTGAAATATAATTGTGATTTATTATTATTATTATTTTTTATTAATATTTCTTTCAACTACTACTAACTGAATTTTTAAATTCAATTTAAATTGCACACAATTCTGCTAAACTAATACACAATAGCAGCTTTCTGCTTTTTATCATATTCTTTTTTAACTCTTTTTTTTTCAGTTTTAAATCTTCTTTTAAGTTAGCCGCACACATATGTAATTGCATATATGTAAATTGTTGCCTCTATTTTTACCGTTTAAAGCGCACTGTAGCTCAATTTTCTGATTTTTCCCACTCTTCACACACTCTGCTATTTTTAATATGCTCACTGTCGCCTAAATGTAGGCAACAGTTTTGGTGTTTACCTGTTTGCATGCATTTTTCGGCTGAGATATATAGGCAACTGCGTGCAAATAGGCTGAGAAGTGAGTATGTGTAAAAAAAAGGAAGTGAGCTATATACCGTTATGCGTTCTTGAGTTAAAAAAAAAAACAAGTATTTACAGCATAATATTGGCTTAAGTAAATCTGTTTTTTTTTACATTTTTCCTGCGCATTTTGAGGGCCAAAATTTATTGACAAAAAATGCCGTTAATTTCTTACTAGCTTTTTTTTTTTAAACTATTTGCTTATAAACCGTAAGGGTTTAAATTAAAGTAAAAAAAAATAAAAATAAATTTTATTCCCTTTAAATTTTTTGGCTCAAACTTTTTACTAATTTTGTGCTGCAATACCATTACTTTTTTTTGTTGCAATTTCTATATTTTCCACTAACTTGCGCTTGCACTTTTTCTTTTTGAACTTCGTTAGTTTTTTGTTTTTGCATTCCCCTAGGTGTCATTCTTTTCACACCGTTCAATATTGTCAAATCAAATTTATATTTTTTTACATCTTTTGCCTAGTGATTGTTTTTTTTTTAATACAATAAATTTTTTATATTTCTCAATCTCTTTACATTTTTAGCAAACAATTATTTTTTTTTTTATAATTTTTTGTTTCACTAATTTTTGTTGTTGTGCTTGAGTTTTTATTTATTTTTAATTTTATTCTCATTTTAGTTTTTGTTATTAATATTTTTTTATAATAATAATTTAGCATATTTTTTATTATTAAAACTAAGCTTCACTCAATATTTAAATTTACAAATTCAACAAGCGAATGATTTTGGTGCGAATTTAAAGGAAAAATTTTAAATAAAAAAGAAAAAAATTATTTATAATATGCCCGCTTGTAAATATACAGGTATGTATGTATATAATAAGTAGTGTATGTGTTGTATGCAACAAATGCCACGAATGAGGGGTGAAGAAAAAACTAAAATAATGATTAATATTAAAAAACGAATTTAAATACAAACGGAAAGTTGCTTCTCTGCAATGTTTTTTAAATAGCGCCAAAAATACGCACATACATATATACGAAAATGCCATGAAGAAGGGACTACTGAATTTATTATTTTATTATTGAAATTTATTTATTAATTAATTTTGATATCATTTTTTATTATTTAATATTATTATAAATGTCATAATTTTATTTAAATTTATCTTTTATTTTAATATTAAATTTAATTTATTTCTTATTTTATATATATTCACCATTTATTTTTATTTTATTTTACTTGTTTTACCGAGAAATGAAAATTTTCAGTCGAAAAAAGCATTTATGCAAACTTTTGCTTACCAAATTTGTTTTCATTTGTGTACTTAATACTTTTTTTGCTTTAAATTTTACAAAAAAAAAATTTCTGAACTTTAGCAAAAAAGAGCAATATTGAAATAAAATTCATTTAGGCCCCTTCTACATTTCATCAGCAGTATGTTTGTGGAATAAAGAATTATTAAAGCATACTTTTAGGCGCTGCTGTTGCACATCCTCCCTTTGTAAGCGCTTTTACAAACATAATTTTTATCAATATCTTTTTGTTTTTAGTTCTATACAACAAAATATAATTTTTAATGCACAAAAGTTTAATATTTTCCAAATTTATATTTTTTCAACTAATTGATAAATATTTTTGCGAAAGTAAAAGTTACGAAAAAAAATGCATGGTGTGTAAAAATTCGTTAACCAAACAAAAGAAAAAAAAAAGAAATACATTAATGTCAAATGAGCATAAATCAAAGTAAATTGTTTAACTGCATATAGATGTATATATGTATGTATGTAATTAAATGTATGTAGCTAAGTAATATAGTAAGTAGTATATAATTGTAACAGTAACTAATAGTAATAATAATTAATATTATTTTTTTATTATAATAAATTGTCTCTCATATGAATACCAACGAATTATACTATTACTAACCAAAAACTAAAATAATAATAATAATAATATTAATGTATATAGAAAAAAAAGAAGAACGCCTTTGTTGTTTGTTGTTGCTGTTGTTTGTTGTAGTTATAGCCAAAACGAACTGAAAAAGTAGTAGAAAAGAGCCACGTACATATAATGTGTTGCAGGCCTTGCCTTTTCACTGCTCCATCATTGTCGCATTATTTCGATTTTCCAATTTCAGTTAATTAATTTTATTTTCTTTTCTATTATTTTACTTGCCATTTTCCTTTTTGGTCTCTCTTAATTTTTTTTTGCAATTTTTTACGTTTTTGTCCATTTATTTATTTTTCTTTTTTTATTTGCTGTTGTTGTATTAATTTTTTGTTATTGTTGCTGCTGCTGCTGCATTATTATTATTAATATTAATATTATTATGTTCAGCTTATAGAATTTGTATTAAATCTCAATTATATACATCCTGTTTCACTTCCACTTCATTCTCTTTTTCGATCATGCCCTCATTTGTGGCATTATTCCATGCGCCATTCATGCTCTTTGATGATGAGAAGCAGAGTTTCATGATGAAGGGGAATTTGGTACCTGCAATAACAGAAAAAATAGAAATTAATGTTGAAAAGAAAATTAGTTTTGATAATTTTAAACGGTGTTTGTGTTGTAATCACTGATTTTTATTTATTTTCTTTTTAATATTTTTTCTTGAGTTTTTATTTTATTTTTTTTTAAATTTTTAATTTTTTTTTTTTGATTTTTGTTCAATTATTTTTACATTTTTTAATTTCTTACAAATTTTTTAAAATTTTTTTTTTTAGTTTATTTTTTATTGTTCTTTAAATTTGTTATGTATATTTTTTTAATTTCATATATAGTTTTTTAAATTAAAAAAATTTCTTTAACGTAACTTAAACGTTTTTTATTTAAATTTTTTCCAGCGATTTTTTCGTTTTCCTTAGCTTTATTGCATTCATTATTTTTTTAATTTTTAATCTTTTACTTTTTTGCTTTTAATTTACTTCAAATTGATGTTTTAATACTTTATCATTTTCAATAATTTTCAAAATCAGCTTTTAAGGTTTTGTATTTTTTAAAGTATTTCAAACATTTTTATTTCCTTAATTTTTGCGCTTTAAGCTGTGATTCGTTCGTTTTCTTTTAGAATTTTTTACTTTATTTCATTTTTTTTTTAACTCCTAAACTTTCAAATACTTTTTTAAATTTTTGGGCTATAATTCTTTTATTCTACATTTAAAATATTTAGCACATACTTTTAGGCGCTTCATGAAGTATTTTTTAATATTATTTTCCAAAGGCTATTAACAAAGTTTCCGAATTAACAGAAAAATACTACTATTACATATTTATAAATAAACTCACCTTTACCCTCAATTGGCAGATGATTACACTTCATGATGGCCAAGACGGCCTGTGAAATATTGGGGAACTCAATTAGACCCGATGAGGAACGTTCCGTTTTAAGTGGGAATAATCGCACAGATGTGGCGGGCACTTCTTTAATATTGAAAATGCCTATAAGCTGGTCTTCGGTTAAGCCAGGCGGTGTGTTGAAAAAGTGCAGAATCTGGAAGCGAAAAAAGGTATGCAAAAACTAATTAAAAAAACTACGAAATATTCGGAAAATCGAACTTATTTAAGCTAATAATTAAAGATTTTGTATTTAATTTTTACGTTTATATTATATTGTTAATTGTTTGTTAAATTTTCAATCTTTAATTATTATTTAATTTTAATTCATTATTTTTCATTCTTATTTCTATCTTTTTTTAATTTATTTTTTTAATCTTTAATTCTTCTTTTGTATTCTTTATATTATGTTTTATATTTTTTTATATTTTATATTTTATATTTTACATTTTATATTTTATATCTTATATTTTATATTTTATATTTTATATTTTATCTTTTATATTTTATATTTTATATTTTATATTTCATATTTTATATTTTATATTTTATATTTTATATTTTATATTTTATATTTTATATTTTATATTTTATATTTTATATTTTATATTTTGTACTTAAATTTTATATTTTTTATTTCATATCTAATAACTTAAATTTTAATTTTTAAGTATTATTCTTTATCTATCAGATTGAAAATTCTCAGCCTTTCGTATTTATTTGTGAAATAAAATTTTTAATTTTTTTTTTCAAATTTTCAATAGAAGTTATAAATTATAACTATTAATTCTTGCTTTTAACTTTTAAAATTTAATGCTCAATTTTTCATCTAAATTTTTAATTTTAAATTTTAAATTTAAATTATTCCTTCATTTAACTTTTTTTGGTTTTGTAAATTTAATGTGTTATTTATTAATAATATTTTAATAAGTTATGTCTAAATTTTATTTTTTAGCTTTTACTTTTTGAACGTGATTTTTTACGAATTTTTAAAATTTTAGTTTTAATTTTTTAAATTTTATTTTTTTTTAATTTTGAATTAAAAATTCTTAAATTTTAGTTATTTTTAAATGAATTATTAAATTTTAAGTTAATTAAATTTTTAGAATTAGATATTTGTTTTTAGTTTAAATACTTGATACTTAATTTGTAGTATTCAATGTTTAAATTCCAGGATTTAAATATTATTTTGTAATTCTTAACTTTTAATATTCAAATTTTAAAGTTTACGTTTTTGATTTTTATATTTCTATCAGTTTTAGTTTTCTTATTTAAAAATTAAATTTTTTAATCTTTTATTTTTAATATTTGTATTTCTGAAGGCTTGCTTGAATAATAATTAAAAAATATATGTTTTTATTTAAATTTTTTTTTACAAATAAAAAAAATGTTTCCATAATATATTAAATATTTCCAGGTAATAAAATTATTATTGAAAAAATAATAATTGAAAAAAAAGTAATATTTCATTTTTTTTGTATTTTCTAAATTTTTATTTTATTTCTTAATTTTGAAAAAAAGCAATTCAATTTCTGCGCTTCTTTTAAATTTTTGATTTGATTATTCTTAATTGCTGAGTTGCACTTACCTTGCTCGGTGGTTGTATACGATTTTTGCTTGCCTGTGCTGGCGACAGGAAACGATTATTCTTTGAGCCGGTATACTCTTTAAAACTGGGTGTATGATCGGGTAATAAAAATGGATTTATAACTTCGGACAGGAAATTTTGTTTGGAGAAGGCAATTTGGATTTTACCACCATTGCCAACGGGAATGTTGTTTAAATGTTGGACACAGCGTTCGACGGCAACGGAATCGCCCATTTGTACCATGGCGGTGCCTTCTTTGGTTTTCAGGAATTTAATCTGCACGAAAAGGAAGTGCAAGAGAAATTATAAATAAAAATGTGATAAAATAATAAGCCTTAATACTTGTCTTTTTTATTTTCGGAGGGGTTTTTTTGTTTTATAATTTTTTTATTATAAGTAAAAGAAAAAAATCGGTAGTAATTGCGTTAGATGATTTTTTAAACCTCTTTTCATATGCTTGCTTACAAAAAACATTTTTTATAATTATTTTCAAAATTCAAGTATAAAAATCTCTAAAAAAAAAAAATTTTTTTTCTTCTTCCGATCATTGCATGATTTTGTTGTATCTCGTTCTTTTGAAATACTGGCAAAAATCTGACAAAATATATTTGTATATATATAATTATATTTGCACATTTTCACATTTCAGAAACTGGTCGGTATTTTATTCCACAAAATCTCAACTATACTTTTCTCCATCAGCCTCTTACTAGTTAAATACTAGTTCATTTCCATATTTTAGCAGTTTTGATGATTTTATGATTTAATCATATTGAAGTGGAATTTTTTTCATAGAAGTTAATTGAGTTTTCGAACTCTTTGGACGCTCCAGTAAAATTGAATGGAATGGTAAATGCTGAGCTTAGTGATAGCAATCAAATATAAATCATTTATGGTGAACAAAGTCCGCCTCTGTGTCTGTCTGTCCGTTCCCGATGAACTGAAAAGCTATTGAGCAGAATTTCATGTGATTTCTCCCTTATATATATAAAGTGATTCCTCTGGAAAGTTTATACGACGAGCAACGATCAGTAGTTTTGACGAAGTGCATACCTGCGGTGCACTGATGAAAGTAGATCCAATGGTAATATTTTACATTTTTATTATATAAAAATAACGTAAATAATGGGTTAAAGTTTCAAAACATTACAAGTGATATCAGCGAAAATTGGATCTACAAGGAGTGATCAGAAAATATCCGTTGATTTCCTATTTCGTGAGTTATGTATGATCGATATTCTCATTTCCCGTTATGTTGGTACACATCTCTGTTATATAAGTTGTCAATATCAGCCATTTTGGCTTGTCAGTTTGTTTTTGACAGATAAAATGGTTAATCGTGTTTTGGTGTGTTTTTTGATTTTTTACTAATAAAAAAAATTGATCAAAGAGACTGTCTTAAGTTTTGTGTAAAAAATGAAATTAAATGCACAAAGACATTTGATATGTTGACTGGCGTTTGGCGAGTCTACTGTGAGCAGAACACAAGTTCAATTGTGGCATAACCGGTTTAAGGGAGGCCGAGAAAGATGTCAATGACAATGCTCGTTCAGGTAGCCCGAGCCCGTCAACAACCGATGAAAACATTAAAGCAGTGAAGAGAAAATGATTTAGTATAATCGTCGAATCACTATCAGAGAAGTCGCTGATGATGATGGTATATTTTTCGGCTCATGTAAAGCAAGCTTTACGGATGTTTTAGGCATAAAACGTGCGGCAGCAAGCAAAATTTTGAGCAAATTCAACGTCGCATGGACATCGCTCAGGAGATGTTGAACATCGTCAAAGACGATCCAGATTATTTCAACAAGGTCATAACTAGTGACGAATCGGCTATAAACATTAAAACCAAAGCCCAATCATCCCTTGGGAAGCGTATAGAAGAGCCAAGACTAAAAAAGGCCCATCAAGTTCGGTCAAATGTAAAGGATTTGCTCACTGTTGTCTTCGACTGGAATGGCGTGTGGCATCATGAACTCTTACCAAGAGGTCGTACTGTCAATAAGGAATACCACCAAGACGTTATACGCCGTTTGGGCGAAGCAATTCGTCAGAAACTCACAGGATTGTGGAACAATAGATACATCGAAACAGGAGCTGCTGGCGATACCCTAAAACGCGTTTCAGAAGTGTTTCGAGGATCGGAAAAAACGCTAACATAAGTGTATTATATCTAAGGGGGATTACTATGAAGGGGACAAGATCGTTATTGATGAATAAATTCTTTTTGAAAAAATTTAAAATAACGGTTATTTCCTGATCACACCTCACACATATGTGAACATTTTTTTCACCGTATGTGGATCAACGACAATTCTCCAAAAATTGCCTTGATTTTTACTGAGACTACGGCTCATCTTGCCTTTGACGGTGCTGTCAAGTCATGACCACAAGCATAGATTACTTCAAGGCGTTTATATTCAAATTTTTGAAGGATACCACTTAAGTAGCGAGAAATGGCTTTATTTTTGATACGCGCTTATTTCATTAAGAAAGTATTTATTAGCCAAATTTTGTACGCATTTATAGAATAATCTATTTCGCGGTTTCAAAAGTACAGGGCCGTACTTTGATAGCTGTCAGACATAACCCGTTTTGTTTAAGCTGAAAAATTGTCAAAATTTTACAGAAATTTGAAGAGACTACATAGATCGGGTACATATATTACAAAACTTTTGCATGATCTTTTTGTTCATTTCACCTCAAATATCGCTGTGGTAGGTAAAAATGTAGCCGAAGACCATAATGTAATTAATAATTTCCCGACGGTCTCAAGAGCTATAATCTTCTTACTGCACATTGTAGGGGGATTTCCACTTAGACTTAATTACACCTACATCTACAGAGCTACTTTTCTGTTTTCAACTTTCGACTACGAGCTGCTGAAACCTGGAGAAACTGTTAATTATCAACGGTATCGACAACAAATGACCGATTTGGCTCCAGTTTTGAGTGAAAAATAACCAGAATAGAAACACAAGTTGATTTTCCTGCGTGACAATGACCCAGCACACAAAGCAAAACATGTCCAGGAATCGGTAGAGTCGTTCCGTTGGGAGATTCTTCAGCACGCGGCTTACTCACCGGACCTTACCCCAGCCGATTACTACTTAGTTGCATCGGGGCGATACACTCTTGCTGAGCTTAATACAAAGATGTACGAAAATGACTCGATGACTGGTTTGCCTCAAAAGAGCAATATAGAAATTGTCAGAAAGATGGGAAAAATGTATAGATAGCAAAGGACAATACTTTGAGTAAGTTACTTTGCAAACCTGGTATGTACGAACGTCGATTGAGTACTTGGAAAACAAGCAGTGAACGTTGGTTTTTTCTAACGAAAGTCTCTTCAGCAACGAGTAAATTTCCCGCTCGAGGATATGTAAATAAGCTAAAGTGTTGCATTTTTGGGTTCGGGAATCCTTATATAACTAAAAAGAGTACATTATGTAATATATATAATTGGCGCTTTGTAACCGCTTAAGTGATTTTCAGCCAGAGAAAGGACGTTGTATCCAAAAAAACACTTATTATTACGTGCGATCTGGGTGGGGTTGAGACAATCATTGTAAATTGGGAGCGCTATGGCCGTATGGTAACTGACCTTTTTTGACCTACAGTTGAATAATACGTCTTGGACAATATATGGTTTCAACAAAATGGTGCCACATGCCACACAAAACGAGCGAGTATGGCTTTATAGCGACATAAATTCTGCTATAGCTGGGATACTGCCCCAATATGTGGCCAAAACTGATCGGGAATCACATCAAATGGATTGAAGTTTGCAAAAAAAAAAAAAAAAAATGGACAAAGGCCATTTGAATGATGTGGTGTTTCATATATAATATTCAAACTATACAATAAAAAGGAAAATTGTAGGGGGAAAAATATTTGAAATGCTTTTGATCGATTTACGTTTATTTTCTTCACTTCAAAATGGAGAACCTTGCACATACAAATATTTAGGAAGACCAATTGAGTTGAGTTGAGTTGATGCGGCTGCTGCTAAAAGCACACTTACTTCAGTAGGCTGTTGCCTTCACCTTCTCAGATGATCGAACCATTCCAATATTCGCTGAGGCTATCTCAGTGAGACAAACGAAGAAATGTTTCCCAAGGAACTTGTGTCGCGCTGATGTCAAGGCTGGACAGTGGCAGAGGTAGTGTTCGATGGTCTTCTCCTCTTATTCGGAAATCGTTTGAATGATAACCAATTCTTTTCCCGTGAAGCCCCATTAAACAGTGTCCAGTTATTATGATGCCCGTCGTTATGCTAGTGGGAAACCGGTTTAGAAGGATAAGATATTTAGATTTTTTCACGTAAAGTTTCGGCCATAGCTATTTGGTCCACATTAAACATGTTCTCGGGCAACCATCTTGAGTCAGCTTCTCTGGTAAAAGGCAGTTTAAGCATGTACTTTGTGGTAGACAGAGGTAAACCAGCAACGTGTGCATGCTTTATCATGGGTAGAAGGGTTTTTTCTCTTGCTAGTTCGTCCGCCATGCATTTGCCTGTGATGTCGCTGTATCCAGGTACCCAGACAACGGCAGTGCTGTATTTAGTAGAGTTTGCTGAGAAAGTTCCTACTTTTTATGGTCACTTCTGACATGGTGCCATTAATCTGGGCAGATCTGATTGCAGCTTGACTGTCGGAGTGTATTATAACCGCTTGTTGATTGCTGCCATATATTTATGCAACCAATCAGCGGCCTCCTTGCATGCAAGGAATTTCGCCTTGAAAACATTACAGTGGATGTTCATCTTCAATGAAAGCGTGAGATTATGAATTCCACAGCCCACTTTCCATCAAGCTGCGAAGAAGGCTATGGCTCTCTGGTCTGGGGAGTCGATTTTTTCCCACTCCCACCTGTTTGGGATTCCCGTGGAAAAACGATTTTCGAGACACATACAGGAGGTATTGTAGTGAGTAGTGAGTATTTGGCACTTTTACAAGAGATAATATTTTGATGTGTTCTATACTGCAATTCTTTCAAGTTTGGGCAGCATTCAATCTGATGGCATTGCAGCCCGCTTGTAGTTTCCCGTATGGGTCCATAGGAAGAATGTTGAGAAGATTTAACAGGGCTTTCAAGGGAGCTGATGGAAGTGTTACTGTTACCAAGATAGTAGCCGATCGTTGAACTCTCTCTCGTTTGCTTCTGAAGTAATTTTATAGAGTGCCGGACACCAAACATGACGCCATAGAATAAGATTGGTTTAACTATCGATATATTCATAAAATACTTGATAAACGGTCTTAGACCTTATCTTC